GCATGCATTCAGGTTCAGTAAGGACACGTTGTCACGCTTGAACTGTTTTCTCTCATACAGACACACAAGAGGGAAAATAGTTTCACTTGTACTAACAAAAAGTGTGTCCTTGTGACTACACGCGCACCAAAACACAAAACAAAAAATGGCAGAGGCAAAAGCTTCTTCTCCGTCGTTGTCTCGTCATCAAATCCATGCAGCATTGAACAAAGTAATAGACAAAGTAAGCGGTCTTGTTTCTTCTTCTCATCATGTCGATGTGGCAAAAGTCATACTCGAAAAGGAAGGCCTTAAACTTCCTCGTCACTTGGAGGCTGCTTTCACTAAAGTAGTAGTGGACCGCGAACAACAACATCTGACTCCTGAACAAATTGTTGGTCTCTTTGGAAGGACGTATGGTGTCAATATGGCTCATGGAAATTTCGATGATGGCTCGCTCGATGGAAACAAGTGTGACATTTATATTAACAGGTATGAAGCATACGATAGTCCTCATGGATGCACATTTGAAGGCGAAGTAATAACAACGACGACAATGAACAATACAGAATGTGCAAGGAATGTTAAGGGAGAAGGGAAAACACCTTGTTCAGCTTTACTCGATGCTCTCTTCAACCAGCAGTCGGACTACAAAGTTACAGTTGTGGATTCACATGAGCACAAAATAAAAGAGCCCCATAGTAAGTCACGCATGGTTCTTGGAATATCATTCATTCATTCATTCATTCACTCCCTATTTAGGTAGACTAAGCAAGAAAGTTGCCTACTATGTGGAATGTTCGGTTCAGTATTCAGATGGTCGTGTTGATGTTATTTTTGGAGTGGGAACAGGTGCTGAAGGGAACGATGCTGCTCGTCAAGCAGCTCTTTCTGCGGCCACTCAGCTACTGAATTCACCACCAACCGATGCTCACCCGAAGAAAGAAGCCAAGATCTCGGAGGACTCAGACTATTTATGAATGAGATAGCGAAGATAAGAAAAACACCAAAGGTGTACGGATCCTTGACTCATACAGGTTAATAAAGGCAATTTGAATTAAAGTTCGCTCGATGAGTATAGATGTACTGGTACACTCTTTGAATATCAGTCGATATTTTATTACTATACACCCTAAATCACTCAATAATTTTGATGAAC